GAAGTCAAGACCAGGAGGGATAGGCAAGATTCTAGTTAGCTATTCTACCTTGTGGGTAACTGCATCTGCAAATGAAAGAGATGATAAAAATCTTTTGAATTTCAGTAAAGGTACCATTATAAAAGAGGACTAACAGGAAACTAGTCCTAGCTCACATTCCTCAATATCATCCTTACAGTTTTCATTCTAGACAGAGATGTTTCATTCTTCTCACAAAGTGTTCCCTTTGCATCTTCCACGCAATCAAGTACTATAAAAACAGCTTGAAAAACTACATTTTATTATTCCAATAAATACTCCTGTCAATATTGATTAATACTGAATAGTTAATACAGCATAATCTTAAGAATTATTGTGGAAATCACATAGCATAGAGAAAAAAACAACTTGTCACTGTTTCTGATTGCAGATGTAATTGGCTCATTGGAGGACTACAAAAACAACTTGTAGTTGCATGTGTATTTTCTTACTCTACAAAACATTGAGTAAATTGTCCATTGCATTAAACCAAAGATATTGTCTCCAGAATATTCAGACAGAGCTTGTTTCCCTGTTGTACAGACATTATTATGTTAAAACCTTTGTGAATTAATTTCATGGTAAAACATAAAAACAGGGGGAAAAGGTATAATCTGTTTATTTGTAAGGTAACTGTCTGCAGATAGACAGTTGGTTTGTAGCAGACCATACTTTTCCTTTTAATCCACAGGTCAGATTTCAGGTCCAATATTCTGCTCCCTTCTGAAAAAACCCACAGATTATCCAGGGTGCAGTGCATATCCAGGGGCTCTACAGAAGGGCATCCAGTGAAATATTGCTGGGTCAGGGAGAGATCCAGGAGGGCAGCATAAGTAAGCAAAACCCAGTCTTCCTCCTAAAGCTATATGCAGATCAGAACAGCATTTTTGCTGTGATTTTCTTCCAGTTCCATCTACACTAGAGTGAAAAGGAACTATTCCTTTTGTGGAAAAACCATACAAGAGGAAATAATCTTATATCTATTCATACTCTATTTTCATACTTCCATGTTTACTAAGACAATTCTTTGTGTTTTGTAAGCCTACCACCAAACCATGATTTTTTATTGCACTTAAGTTTCATGATAAATATAGCACCTAGCATACCTAATTACTACAGCCTATGCTCATTACCACAGGAAGCTACATTCCAAAGTTGTAGACAACTCCCCCAGTCCCAGGTTCTTCCTCATTAAGCCACAATTAGTGTGATAAATGGGGATGGTTATTTGGTTACAGGCAATAATGGCACTGCTTGCTCATCAAAAAATGGGGAGAAATAATTAAATATCACAAGAAATGGCTTAATAATTAATAATAGTACCTCAGTCACCTGCAAACAAAGCAGAGCTCCATCCAGGTGTTCATTACAGGCTGCAGTTCAAAGTCAACATGGCCTTAACCTCAAAATAGCTATCTGCATTAATGGGGTAGGCAGAAGGATGAAATCGTGCTTGTCCTTGACAGGAGTGCTGCAAGGTGCTTGAGATGGAGTGTGCAGAGTCAAGCTGAAGCTGGAGTCGGTAATCATTCTGGCTAAAGCAGCTGCAGCCTGAGGAGCCTGTGAGTGCATCCTTGGTGGCTCCCTAATTTGTAAGCACCATCTAGGCCAGCATTTCCCTGTCCACAAAGTGACCTAAAGGGCACTTGAGGATCCAATTTTTTAATATACTTTGAATTAAGGAAGACTGTTCTGAGGCATGTGGTCAGTACTAGGTTAAATGAAAAAGGATTCACATTTTTGTCACTTAGTTACAAATACAGCATTATATAATCTCACTTAATTGCACTCTTCACCTCTTTAACATCCTCAGCCTTCTGTCTCAACACATCTCTCCTCAGGAAACCCTTCCTGCTGACTGAAACTGCCTTTCTATAATTAAGCTCAGTATCCTCTTTTCTCCCAGGGGAACACAAGACCATGTCCATGTCATAGAAATCAAATGCAACAGGGCTCAGCAGCACCTCAAGAGGGTCACCTAATTCGCCTTTCGTCCCAAAGGCAGGATCAACTTCTTCCAAATTGTTCTTGACAGAAGTTCATTTAATCTGCTCTTAAATCCTCCAGTGACTCTGCAGCCTCCCTCAGCAATCCAGGCTGTGATCAGCCTCCTTTACCATTAGAAAACTCCAAATGCTCAAGGTACCTTTCCTTTACTGTAATTTAGCCCATCACTTCTTGTACCAGTCTGTCAAAGTTACAACTGCATCAAGTCAGAGAAATTTACTTGACTTAATTTACTGCCAACCAACGCAAATACACAATCACAGCTTCACAGTGAGGGGAAAAAAAACCAAACAGGAATCACTGCAAAAACCTGCCTAAATTTCTGTCCTTCCTCTTCCTGCTCTCAAGTACTCTTTTGCTTTTTTATAATCCCAGTGCACCAAAACTCCTCCAGTGAGGCACGGTTGCATGGGAGGCTGAAGCAGTGCAACTCATTCTAACCCTTGATGGTTAAGGTTTGCTGTCATGTTCCTTAGTTTCCTTTCCCAATGTGGGCTGCCCATGAACCCCAGTCCCTCAGCAATGCCCCATGATGGGTCAGCGATGGCCACAGTGCCCCTATTGTGTCCTTTCCCCAGGAATGTTCAATCATGCAGGTTTGTTGACTTCTCCAGCAAACTGGTGCCCACAGCTCTGCCTGTGAGTCATGGGCAGTTCAGGGAGGAGGGGTTGGCAGCAGTGCTGTGGTGGGCAGCTTCCTGCAGCCTGAGGGCCCTCATCTCTTAAGACCACTGGTGGTCAATACCTGCAGGCAGGTCCCTGGGTTTGGCCTTTTGTTTTTCATTTTTTTTTGTCTTCCATTCCTTCTGTTCCCAGTGCTGCTTCTCAAACAAGAAGAGTGTGGTGCTGGTCTCAGGCTGCACAGGCAGTATGTGACTTCTGCACAGGTATCCCTGGGGGTGGCTTATCCAGCTTATCTCCATCCCTGATGGAGCCCTGATCTGCTCTGCTGCTCAGAACTGCTCTTATTATCAGTCCTGTTACTCCTAAAGTCAGGCTTTCTTACTTCATATTTCAGTTTCCTTGCTCCAATGCTGAACCTGCTTAAGTACTTTCCTTTGCTTAATCAAAGCCTGTGTACTTGTATGCAAACATACTAATTGCAGGCAAAATTGCTCTTATGTAAGCCACTACCTGATGTTTTTCACAGAGTTGGAAATGCACAACAAAGACCTTTGCGCCCATTAGACATTTTAGGAAAAGCTTTTAACATGAGGAAATGTGTCATGGGGAATTTGAGTGCATTATCATCAATATTATCAGAAGAGAAGAATAATTTATTCCTGACAGTTGTCTTTTACAGCATGTCATTAGAATGATCCCTTTATAGCACCCATTCATATACATGACATCTTAAGTCATACCAATCCATCTTGCTCAGCAGATAAAAGACTATCATATTTCTAATATCTCATTTTTTTCATTTGAAAGCCTGAGTAAAAAATCACTGCACAAGCATTAACAAGTCCAGCCTACCAGTTTCCTGGAATCCTCAGACAGTTTCTAGAGCCATCTCTTCTTCCTTCCTTATAGCCCCCACCCTGATCTTGTAAAAGAAAGTTAAGTACAGGAATGCAAGACACATCAAGATACATCCCAAATGGAGGACTTAGTGAAACAGAGCATTTTTACCAACCCAGATTACTGATAAGCATATGATTCTGTGATCAAGAAGCCTGCCTGACCAGATGCAATATACACCTCAACTGTTTGGTTTTCAAAGCCACCTCCCACAAAAATAATCTGAGTTGGAGAAGACTCACAGCATATATGAGGACAGCTGTCTCTGAGATGCTTGGAACTGACATCAAACCAGTTGGGATTTGGTCACCAGCCTAGCAAAGGCTCTTTGCTTTGGTGCTATGTAAAATTCTCATAATAGTTAACATCTGACCTTGAGTTCTCCTCAGTTCTATCTTATATCCCTTCAGTTCATTTGCTCATATCTCTCACTGGAAATAAATATCTCTCACTAGAGAGACAAATGCATACACCCCACATCATGCTTTCCTCACTTAAAGCAGCCAGGGAAACTGAGGTAACTTCCACACATCTCCATAACATGAAGATGTATTTACATCTTCATAACATGGAACCATCATCCTGCAGCTGATCAGCTTGTTCTAAGTTAAACTCCTTTTACATTTTTGGGGTAAATCTGTCAAAAAATATGCTTCCTCTCCTCTGCAAGTAAATGTTTTTTCCATACTTGGGTTCTTGACACAGCTCTCACTGGTTCATCATGTCACACCTGCCTTCTTTAAGGACTGTAACAGTGCAACTTTCCATTCCATGCACTGCATTTAGATGGGTAAGGTGCAATCTAACATCTGCTCATAATAATGGTGTGATATTAAATCAGACTCACAGGATGTGTTCCCTTCATACATAGACTGTTTCACAGGATAACTGTATTCAGCCTGTGGAAAGGCTTCATGTACTGACTCACAAAGTGCTTCTTTATATATCCTAAGGCTTAGTTGCCCCGTCTCATATTAATTGTTTGCATTGCTGACGCTTGATGTCAGCATGCTGTCACTGAAGAAACATGGTATTGTGATAGGGCTTTTAGCACAAAGATTACTTATCAATGGAAGACCAAAAAAAAGCAAGAGTACCATTCAAGACCTTGTAATATAATTAGCACAGCATAATAGATAAGAGTTTTAATGCAGAAATCACTTCCTCAAAAACAGTTTTCACTTCTGCTGCAATATTAAAGAACTGAAATGTATTCGTCATGCAGCTGAAGGTATCTCTTCATAGCAAAGTCAGTACAACCCAGAAAAAGAGACAAAATGTAAAACCTGTTCACCTCTGTAAAGGCAAACCATCAGATTGGTAGCTTGTTCAGTGACAGATAATGAAATGCACATTTCTCACTACCTCCCTCTCCAATAGGAAAATGGCAGTGCAAGCCACAATCCTCTCAGTCAGAACACACAAACAATAAAAGAAATATATGCAGAACTCACCTCACTCTATCTTGTACGTGGCATTGAATCTGAACTTTCAGTCATTCCAAAAGCAATCCTCTCCCTGAATTCACAGGGAAGTCTTCTCCCTGTATTTTGTGCATACAGAAGTCAGATTTAGTAGTAGGCCATCATATATAGTTCTGAAGTCTATGGTCTAGAGAGTTCAATTTTATTTAATATTAGGTAGAATTCTTTGGAGTTATATGGAACAGAAGATATTTTCTCCTAATTTTTAATGCTTGCGTGTAATACTGCTGCATACTTGGAAATGTCCATTTTCTGTGCTGGATACATGTAAGGGAGTAAGTCTAATAAACAGAACCAAGAGGTACAGGATTCTGGATAACTGGAAATTCCTCAACAAGTAAGAATTATGGATTTCTATCAAAATACATATTGAGAGTTCATCACAAGAAGAGACATTTTCACTCGTTGCTTACATCAGTAGAAAGTAAATCCATCTGTAGGATCAAATCTTTGTCCAAGTAACGTACAGAGTATAGTTTGCTGCTAAAGTTGTTGTCTGAAAAGGTAAAAATACAGTTCTTTGACTACTCAAAGACTCTGGGTATTTATATATTTTTACAAGATCCTTCCCATTACCCTTCCAATTTTAGCCAAATTTCACTCTGAGTAGATGCATTTTCCGATCTGCATGCTCTCTAGGTTTAATGAGATGCTTTGATTGGGACTCAGCTAATAACTGAAACACAGGACTGGGTGTGGCAGGGCCCTCTGCTCCTGCTGGGCTCAGTGACCATTCCAGAGGGACTCAGCTCACTGGCCCATGGGCTTCTGCTCTGCAGAGGCCTGAATCACTCCTGGCCTACCAATCCACCCTGTTGCCTTTATGCTGGCCATGCCAATCAGAATTTAAGTATTTTCCTTCATAATGTGAAAACCAAATCTCGCTATACATGGCCAAGAAAATTCTCTGCCTTCCTTTCTAAAACCCAGAAAACAATGATGCTGACATTCCACTTCCACACACACTCCCACACATTTCTAAATTTCAGTTAGAAGTGAAACAGAAACAAATTTAAAAGCCTTTTTTTCTTTTCTCAATGTTACAAAACCACAGAATCACAGAATTGCTGAGGTAGGAAGGGACCTCTTGGGGTTATCTTGGCCAATCTTCTCTGCTCAAGCAGGGTCACCCAGGGCTGGATGCCAAGGAACTTGTCCAGATGACTTTAGATAATCTGCAAGGATGGAGACTCAACAACCTTCCTAAGCAATCTTGTGCCAGTGTTTGGTCACACTCGTGGTGAAAAAATTATTTCCTCTGGTTCCATGTGCTGTCTGAAGTAGGGTACTTTTAATGGGAACTTTTATTGACAACAAGATTCCTTGAGTGTGAATTGGTGAGCAGAACACTGCCATTTGTGGACGAAGATTAAGAACTACTGATCGGTACTGCACCGCTACTCTTGCCCCTTGTGACTTGAAGAATAAAGCTGACTGTACTCATCAATATCCCCACACTGTGAAGAATTTATCTCCATATATCTTTATAAATCTATTAAGAGAATTGAGCAAACCACAGGAAAGACTAATGTCTGTAGCATAAAAGCACAAGTGGCTTATGCAACCAGCTTCATGTGTATTTTGGTACTATTTCTTTTAAGCATAGCAGCCAATAGATTAAGTCTGAACTTGAAAGGTCATTTAACAAAAGTAGAAAAGAAATGCTATCTTCTAATGCTCATATTTTTGCATAGAAAAAAGATTTAATTTTTCAAGATCAAGCTGCTTTCTCCAGCTTCTTGCCTATGGTAGAGGAGCACAGCTATATTCACTTCAGTAAGACTGACAGGATGGTAATAGTGTAAAATAATCTGTGTTTTTAAGCTGTATATATATATATATATAACATTTACATATAAATATATACATACTTTTTAATTCTGATACATGCTAATATTGAAGATCATTAATTTAAAGAAAAAAAAATCAAAAAACAACCTACAAACATTCAGGGGACTGATAGAGTGCCTTTAATAGCCTTAAAATGCCTGCTAAGGAAACTTAGATATTCAAACAGCAATACCTGCTCCTGGTGCATAGCATGTACAACAACTACTATTCTGGTCAGCCTCAGTTATTTACATTTTGATTGTTGAAGGCTTTTGACTTTTTCCAACCTACGTTGATTAGCTTGCAGGGAGAGGGACAGCACAGGCAACATGACATCCATGTGATGTACAGTTTCACAAAACCCTTACATTAGTCAATGAAAAACATGACAGAAAAGGAGATCCTGCAATAAATGCTGTACTACATAGCAAAGAAAATCTTCTAACTTTCTACAGGAAAGATGCTGTATGTCATGCAAATGTACATACAAAGATGCATGTACATTTATCTCTCTGGTGAAAAAAGATTTATCTCTAATAAAAGAAGGATACACTTGAAAGCAGGAATCATATTTCTCAGCCAAAACATTAGGGTACATCTCCAACAGTTTTCATGCTCTTATGTTGTTATTATTAAGCAACTGCCTATGGCCTTATCACATACACCAAGAAAACAAGATGTTTTGCCAGCATATTTCTAATTTGATGGATCATGATTTTTATCTCCCAGCAAAGGATTCAATCTTTGCATGTCCTTTTTTTATGGCTACTATTTAAGGCACCGAGCCATGGCAGGATCTCCCATGAATCATTTCTAGAATACAAAAAATAATTTAAAAATGCGAGAAAGGGTACCAGCCATTTTAGCAGTAACTGGGGAGTGTGGCTGAGTGGGTGCATGACCACGATGACTGACCCAAGACACACACTTAGAACACACTTCACTAGTGCTTGATTCTCAGTTTCCTTTTGGCAGTCATGGTACTTCAGTGCCACGCTTGAAATGGAGCTGTTCCTGCCAGAGTGTCATCTTCGTATACTTTTGTAAATGTATGTATGTAAAGCCACCTTTACTTTCTGATCCCCCATATTCTCCAGCCCCTCTTCACACACCACATGGAGGAAAGGAATGAACACACAGAGCTCTTGTGACCAGAAGTTGCAGGTTTCCTGGGAGGGTGAAGTGGGCCATACAATCTTCCAAATTTTGTGTGGACAAGTAGGTACCAACTTTTTACATAGTGCCTGCATACCTAAAGCAGCAAGTAACTTCTGCTAAGTACATACCCACCTAATGCCCTGCTGTTCCCCACAAGAACTTGTCAGACTCTGCTTACTTCTTGCAAAAATTCAGATGAGAAAAGAGCCAGCAGCGTTTCTGTGTTGGTCTCAGCAATTAAGTATTTAAGTGGAATCAAATCAGTAAAGAGAGAAACAAAGCCAGAAGTCTTGCAAAGGCAACAGCCCCTGTGCCCTGTGTGTCAGTGCCATCCAAATTCACAAGTGGAAGACTATTATTCTGCCACCCCAGAATATTACTCACATCAAAGAATAGTGCATGATAATGGCATTAGGACAGATTAATTCAGTGAGATCAAAGCTTAGAAGTCTGTTTCTAACATTGGATGGCTCATGATGAATGGTCCACGATGACTGAGGAGTCAAAGTGTTTAAGCCACACAAGTGCAGAATTATCCTTCCCTCCTCTACCATGATTTTCTGGGGTGGGCCTATGGCTACTTCTTTTATTTTTTTAATGTTTTTAAGCTACTTAGATTTTTGGTTTACAGAACATCCTGACAAAGACTTCCAAATTCAGTTTTGAAAAGTCACTGATGGATCACCTACTAATGGAAACCATCAAGCAAAAATCAAGTCATGCCTGAGCAAGCCACAAGTAGATTTTTCTTTGGTCTTTAAAAAGCTTTTCAGAGGGCAGGGTCTCTGATTTTCTTCCTCTACTCTTCAGACTTGAAAATAGCATTATCAATGAGCTGCCCTCAGAGGATGCAAATTGTTGTACCTGTCAGCCTCACAGGATTTGGAGGGAAGTGCTGCCATAATTGCATCTTATCTGGATGTAGTATAATGCTCTCTGGTCCTACTATGTCAGGAAGGAGCAAGAGGAAGCTGCAAACCAAGCATGGTGACAAAGCTGGCAAGGGCAATGGTAGCAGCAGCAAGAGCTCAGTCTCACCACACTGTGTGAAGTAAGATCCCAGAACAGACAAGTCCATAATCAAAGAATCATATAATACTTTGAGTTGGAATGGATCTTTTAAAAATCAAGTCCAACACACCTGCAAACTGATCATGAATATTTCCATTGATGGAGAATCTCTGAGCAATCTGTTTGAATGTTTTATCACTCTCATTATAAAAAACTTCTTCCTTATATCTAATCTAAATCGACCATCCTTCATTTTAAAACCATTAACTCTTGTCCTATCAGCATGTGCCCATGTACAACATTCCTCTCCCTCTTTTTATAAGCTCCCTGTTGCTATAAGGTCTCCTGTATCCTCCAGGCTGAACAATCTTAAATAAGTAATAAGGCATCAGGACTGAGGTCAGGAAATCAGTTCACAAGTCCATACCAGGATCTAGTGTGGGGACAGGCACAAGCAATAGGCTGCAACACCCATTACAGAATGTCCCAAGCAGGAGCCAGTCTCATTCCCAAGCAGCTGTGGGAAGCCTCTGCTGTGGGAAGCCTTATTCCAGCTTTTGGACAAAGAAGCCCCAAGGCAAAAAAGGCTTTTCAAATATCTGTTTCTGACTAGAGATGTGGCCTTGAGTACAGAGGGACAAACTCCTGGGAGGGGTGTAGAATCGTGTTCACTGACATTCCAGAGGCAAGGGGGTCTTTCCCTGCTGTCTGCATTGCTCCATACATTGCAGTGGAAAATGCTTTACAGGCTGGATAACTGACATGACTTCCTTGTTTAAGTCTCTCCTCTCTGATGTGGCCCTTTATTGACTCTTTTAATAAGCCATTGAGCAAATTTCAATTTATATTATTTGAAATAACAAGATTTTAAAAGCAGATCAGGTAGAGGAAGTCACTGTTGGAAAGCCATAGCTAAACCACCAATTTCATCTTCAAAATGGATTTCTATCCCATCCTCTCAAAACTCCTATTAAAAAAAAAGCTTCAACCCACAAGAGCTGACATCAGGTCAACAGAATAACGTCTTCTTAAGCCTCACTCACCTCATTGATGGTATAAGTGTGTTTTCAGTGACATTTTAACCAATGAAAAACTCCCCTGTTCAAGTGTTGCTATAATTCAAAACTTAACTGAAAGTTACACAAAGACCTCAATGCTTTTCATCACTTAGAACAGTACTTTGTGATTTAAGGGCAGGTAATTTCAAGAAAAAAGATGTGCATCAAAGCTACCTTAAGGAACTGGTACAGGCAATAATGACCTCAAAATGACTACTCACAGGATTAAACACTGTATACAAGAGCCAGAAATTTTAACCTTATTAACTGCAGAGTAACCTCAGTTCACTAACTCAATTACTTAAATAATTTGCACAATTCCTTAATTACTAGCACGACTTTAATAGCAAAGGTGTAAAACTGTGGAGACATCATTAAAAAATAAAGTTGCTAGCGAATATTTACTAGGTTCCCCTCCAGTGCTTTAAATTAATTCTGC